CCCCCCCCCCCCCCAGCTTTTCTTAAAAACTGGGGGAGGTACGACCCCAGCCATGGCCTTGGGAAAGGGGGGGAAGACCAATTTCTTTTCCTTGGGCACCGGGGCTTCTTGAACCTAAGCAGCACGATCCCGCCGCTCCAAGCCTCATCCCCGGTCCCCGCCCCGCCCTTCCCCCCCCCTGCCCCCGCGGCCTCCGCCGCAAAAGCGGAAACCCCACCGTCGTCGTCGTCGTCAGGCGCGTGCGCGGGGGGGGGCAGGTGCGCCGGCACGAAGCGCAGGCGGCTGAGCTTGGAGAGGAAGTCGTTGTTGTAGAGCTCGCCCTCCCCGGCCGAGCTGTTGATGTGCCGCATCAGGACGGCGGCGCGCTCCGCGACTGCCGGAGGGAGGGGCTCCGTGCGTTGGGACTCCACCTTTTTTTGGAAGGGGGGGGGGGGTTCCGTGTCATGCAAGGCCGGAGGGTATGGTTCACAACGTAAACCTTTTCGGAGCTTGTAGCATATCAGAGATATAACATCCAATTAGTATGTACTCCGGAGTAATACCAACAGAAACAAGAGAGCGACACAATTCACAAGAGGGAGACGACGAGCCAATTAAAAAGCACAAGCATCAACAAGCGGCCAGCCCTTGATTCGTTCAGATAATCGGCGTAACCCCACTCAGGGAATAATCCAGAAGAAACATTCATACACAACACAAACCCATCCACACCACACAGATAAGAACACAAAAAAAAAAAAAGTATGCTACGGGCAAGCACCGCAGGGGGAAAGGTGGGGCAATAAAACAAACCATAGGAAAGCCGTGTGGCCTTCCTCTTGTGTGACCCCGGGTGATACGTCAGGTATACACAGTACGCCGAAAGGCCTGTGAAACCGGCGCCAGAATAGATGGGACCAAACGCACACAGGCACACTTATCCCACCGCACCGCTGGTGGGTTATATGGTATACCGGTTGGCGTAGGCTGCCTCCCAGTACAGGCGGAACGCCAAAAAAAAAAAAAACGACATCCTTACCTTCTTGGCGCACTGCAGGATGGTGTCCCTGTCCAGCTTGTTCTTCAGGCCTATGTCCACCAGCACGTCGAGCCAGGGCTCCTCTCCGAACTCTCCTGAGGGGAAGGCGTCCGGCTCGTCTCCGAATATCTCCTTCAGCACCAAGGTGCGGGGGTCGAAGAGCTTGCTGGCCTTGGTGGGGACCCCGTTCACAGGGATAAACGCCACCTGCAAAAAAAGAAAAGTGCGGTGTGTGTGACAAAAAGGCGCAAAGTGAAAAAAAATCTACTTACGACCTGTATGTGCTACTTCCGGGTTTTCCGGGTTTTTACTTCCAATTTTTCTAAGGCGATAAGAAGTCGCGATGCACCTCAGGTTGTGTACATGCTCATTTTTTATTGTTAAGATAAGGAGAAGAAGTCGCTATGCTAAACCCCAATATCAACCCAATCGGCCTGAAGATGGCACAGGGGGATAAATCTAGGCTGAAGGTGGATCGGCTTTTAATGCACCACTACATTATCTCCGTGAAGTTCACTTCATATGCTACCCTTGTGACCATTTGTGTGTGGGGAGGGGAGCAAACGATACTCGCAGAGCTCTTGCTATTGTACAGCGGTTTTACGCCCGGTCATTGTTTTGGTCCGGTAAATGTCTCCGAGTTCCCTACCCCACAACATGGAGCATTTCTCTTGGCGAACCAGGAAACAAACAATGCTCTGCTCCGTTGACATTCATAACAACAATACCAGCGACAACAACACAGCAGCAGCAGCAGCAGCAGCAGCAACAACAACAACAAACGCTTGTATATACACTCTTTCCCCCACCAACCCCACTACCCCACCCCTTGTTTCACCCCCCCCCCCCGTTCCCCATCAAGTGTACGGAATGTCGAAAGAAGGAGTAGGGTTCAAGGATTACCTACATGGACCAATGCAGGCAGGGACAAAGCTTAAGGTCAAATTCAGGACCGGGGACATAGGCCTTCGAGAACGTCGACGAAGACATAGGACGGTAGACGACGAAGACGGCAAGTTCAAATGTGATTGCGGCTTCGAATGCGAAGACCGTGTTCACGTAGTTGCGGAATGTCGGCTGTACAAAAAGGAGAGGGAAGTGTACATGACTGAGCTGGGAAACATACAAGGGGACGTACAGGGAGATGTTTGAGACATGGAATAGAGAGGAGAGGACGGTAGCTGTACTGGGGAGTAGGAAGTGGGTTGAAAAGGCGGGAAGGGATATCGTTAGGATAGACAGACTAGGGAAGACATATTTGAGCCACCTTTGGCAAAGTAGGAAGGAACGATTGGCCATCGGTGATCGGTCCTGTGGGAACAAAGCTCCGTCCTCTCGAGGACGCGCGGTCAATGGTCTAACCGCTAAGGCATGCAAAACATAAGAGTACGCCCCCCCCCCCCTCCCCGTTCCCCACCTCCTTGAACTGATTCACGAGGTCCTGGTTTTCCTTGAGCTCCGCCCAGTGCACGCGGACGTGGTGCAGAAGCTTGTGCCTGTCGTCAGGCGGCACAGTGCCAAGCTCAGGCAGGACGAACCTAGCTACCACTCCCGGGTGATCCACTTGCTCCACGCCGATGTCGCGGATGAGGTCGGACAGCTCAGGGGAGGGGGCCAACAACCTGGGGCGTTTTTAGGTGGAGGGGGGGGTTGCTGAGGTCCCAACAAAAATGTCCCAGAGAGTTCACCAAGATTCATGCCATGATCGGATTCGGCCATACACAAGTCTCACTCGATTGGCTTACCCTCGTCGGCCCTAATTGTTGGGGACGCGTCGTCGGGCCAACATCAGCAGCACGACGGGGCCCCGGCGTATCACTCTGCACCCGCCTACTCCAGGCTGTCTGTCTGCGGGGCACCGGCGTATCACCCCCAACACTCACAACCTTTTGACACGTCTCGTGCCTCAGCGGCACGATAGAGCAGCCATGACACGTACGTAAGAACAAGGGCTACTATAGGTTTTCCCAAGCAGATAAACAGGTAGCCCCCAAGCCTCTCTCTCTCTCTCTCTCTCTCTCTCTCTCTCTCTCTCTCTCTCTCTCTCTCTCTCTCATCACCTGTCGGACGTGCCCGAGGGCAGGCTGAACGAGGTCAAGTCCCCGCCGGTGCCTTGGCGGAATTGCCGCTGGCTGCCTATCGCGAGCGTGTTCGGAGATAGGCTGCAGACGAACGGGATGTCTTATAGCTACTCCTAGTGAAGGGTGCGGGATTGAATACTTCATATACTCGTACCGGGTGGAATCACCTGCCGCAGATGGGACCAGGGGGGGGGGGGG